GCACTGCTGTAACTTTGAAGTTTGAAAAATAAAAAGTTGTTAAGCAAGGACTACCTGTATTCAAATATAAAATGACATCACTGTTTACAGGATGGAAAATAGGTATTCTTCCAATAATATAACAACTTTTTTTCATAAAAACATTTCTGTTGCCCTTCAGTTAATTTCCTTCCTGCTTGGCATAAAAATAAGAGAACATAAAGTATCTTTAAAAATCAATGAGTCTTCCAGACCAAAATCAATATATAAAATGTTTGTTAGGAAGAAAACTATTATTAACACAAAGCCACATCCTTTAAATTTATTGTATTTTAAGGCCCACATCTCCTACCATTAAATGAATCCAGCAAATTCAAATTCAGCAAATTCTAGAAAATATGCAAAGGTTTCTCTTATATAGCAACTACTATTTCTGTTAAAATAATCATAAATTAGTGTGTGGTGTGATTTATAGATGTCAAACTGTTCAATTGGTTTTTTGTTTATTTCATACTCCATGGTTCCCTGTAATTATGAATATTTGATATATTATAGCTCAGTGTCAGGCCCACACTGCACACGTGGGACAACTGGATGCTATTGTGGATAGAAGGAGATAAATCTTTTTGTGTGTGTGATAAAACTGAATAAGATTGGTCATTAATTAATTGGCCCCTCCCCCTGAATCCCACCAGCTAGTCTCCTCATTGCACAGTTGGAATTTAGTGATTATGTTGATGACCTTGACAAGCACAAGTTTAAAACTATATCAGCTTTGATATTTTGCTCAGTAGCCACAAACAAAAGCAGAATTGAGAATTATACCTATGGCCCTGCAAGGCAAAGATAAAAGAAGAAAAAGGCAGACACAATAGAAATTATAGTGTGACATTGTAATATTTTTATTCTTGTTTTTATGTTATTTATTCTTGTGGTTTCAAAATTTTTACATTGGTTGCTTTATTTATTGTTGTAAACTATCTAGAGTCACCTTTGGTAATGAGGGTACTCCCTGGGTGTGTCAAATTTTTCAAATTTCTATTCCCAAACATTAGGGGTCGTCAAAACTTGTGATATGCCTGAGGGATTGTAAAAATATTTTGGTTGCTTTAATATAATATACTTTAATATAATTTAGATGTGCTTGAGGACTTCCGGTTTGTCGGCTTCGCGAGCGGCAGGGATTTGCGATCCTGCGCGATCCCTGCCGCGCTAGCCGCTTTGGTGCCTCCGATCCATCGATCTGGAGGCTAGGGCTGCCATGAAGAGGCAGCCCAAGATAGGAGGGATCCGGACAGGGGGTTGGGGTCTTCTCAGACCCCTTCCCCACCTGGCTTAACCCTCTTTTCTCAAGGCGGTGGAGCGGCGGTCAGTAATGGCCGCCACAAAGAAGCTGACAGCTGGACAAGATCGTGCTGGAGGAAGAAGGAGAAAGTGCTGAAGCGAAAGTTTCTTGGCTGAACTGGATTATAAGATACAAGTAATACAAGTAATATCCTGAAAATTTGGATTTTTTTGAAAGATACTTTGTTTCCAGAAGAGATTTACAACCGGCGAGTGAAAGTGTTTTAAGAGAAAGTTTACTCTTCTTCCACATGGATTTAACAAACGGATATTGAAAATCCTGCGATTTTAATAGAAGGTAAAAATTTAAAGCTTTCTGTTATAAGTGGGAAGGGAGAGGACAAAAGGAAAATTTTCATTAAGATTTTGTTGGAGAAGATGCCTGGAAGATTTTGAGACTGGAAGTTAATTGTAATAAGACTTTAAAATACAGATTGGTTTTTTTTTTCCCTTGCCAATTGATATTACCCCAGGAAGAAAAAGTGTGAAGAACTTTGTGTTCTGTTTGGATTGTTTGATGACTTTGGGATTTTGGGGAATTGTTTTAAGCTTTGAATTATCTTGGTTGTTTTAAAAAGAAGAAGAAGAGAAGAAAAAAAAAGAAGAAAAGGTTTATAATGGCTTTATCTGTTGATGAACTGAGAGAGGACTATGGTAGAATAAAAAAAGAAGGTAAAGACGGTGTGAGAGAAATTTTTTGCTTTTTAGAAATGGCGCTTGCTACTTTTCAACAAACACAGCAATTAATGGAGGATACAGAAGAAGAAGAAGAAGAAGAAGCCATCTTTAATGAGTCTACAAAGCTGATCAAGAAAGGAGGGAAAAAGAGAGGAAGGAAAAAGGACATAAGACTTAAAAAAACATCCAAGAAAGAGAAAAATAAGATGCAAAATCAATATACTGTTAGAAAGCAAAAGAAAAGAGAAATGCAACAGAGGGGGGGGAGCGAAGGGGGGTAAAAAGACCAGATGGGATAAGATAGAAAGGAAGAAGGGGGGAAAAAGCCACCAAGGTATGAAATAAGATGTGGAAAAGAAATCTTTTTTTATGGATAATGGGTAATGCATAACTTTGTTTTAAAATGTTTCTGCAAGGTACATGATAGTATTGTAGTATTTGTATGAGAATTAGAAAATCAGTATTTTATAAGGCTTAAGTAAAGATTAAAATATTAAAGGTTTAATAATGATAGATTTTAAGATTTAATAAAATATTAAAAGGAATGTCTAAAACATTTAGTTTAAGTATAGAGTTTAATTGACTATTGTGTGGGTGTTTGTATGAACTTATTATTATGGTATTTGTTTTTGAAATAGATAATTGGAATGTTATGAGATTTAATGTTTAATTATATATTTAATTACTTTATGGATTTACTATTTTAGTAAGTAGAATGTACTAAGCAGAATTAGATAGGGAATTAGGTGTTACCTTAAATGTTAATGTAGGGGAGCGATGGAAAGGCGTCATACTTCGATTAGTGATTTCAGGAGAAATATTTTTTTTTCTAATATGAATGAGATAAATGGATAATTGGAAAAGAATGGACAAAAGATACAAATATAATGATTTAAATTAAGATGAAATAAATAAAATAGAATTAAGAAGAGTGGAAAGTGGGGAGAAGTTTTAATAAAGATATAGAAGGGTAATAAGAGGTAATGGCATATAAGCTGAACATGAATTTAATTGAAGTCCATACAAAGAGAGGTAATCCGGGGCCAAGCTACTTTTTAAAAAGAAGTTTTATGTTTTTGTGTTTTGTGTGTGTATGTCTGATTGAGATTTAATAAAACCTTGGGAGAAAGCGAGAGGAATATTTGTAAACAAGGCAGAGGGAAATATGAATATGATGAGTATAAAATGGATAAATATAGAAGAAATGTAATTGAACAAGAGTAAAGAGAAATAATGAGAAATTTGCTTAAAAAATATTCAAGTGGAAATGGGATATATTAGAATTGTATTGTATAAAACAATGTTTTATTTGCCTTGCAAAAATTTATAATGGAAAGAGGTTTAATGTCTTTAATGTTTAATGATGCTTTGTTTGTCTGTAAAATTAATAAAATTTGTTTTTAAAAATATATATATATATAATTTAGATGTGCTTGGTAAGTAACTACATAAATATCATAACTTTTTAAAATTGTGTTTGTTTCAATTGAGCAATTATGTAAACTTGATTAATAAATAAAACAAACACATCTGTGTGACATTATATATCCCTTCCTAGTAAGTCAGCATGCTACCTATTCAATCTCAGAGATGTGGTCAGTGAATATAAACAGTTTGGTTTACTGGACCAGAGCAGCGGTGGTATTCTACCAGTTCGGCCCAATTCTACCGATCCGGTAGCGGCGATGAGCAGTGGAGACCGAATCAGTTCTCTCCACCACTCTGCTGTTGGGCCCACCCGCCTGCCCGGGCTCCCATACTCACCTTTAACCTCTGCTTTTGAAGTGCAGCTGCTTTGCACGGCACAGCAGAGTGCTGCACGGCAGCTGGTGAAGCGACCAGGAGAGTGCAGGCTTGCAGGAGGTGAGTTAGAACACCTCTGTGCCTGTGCAAATGCCTCTGTGCCTGTGCAAAGTTTGCATTTGGCATACACACGCAAAGCGTGCCCACCAAGCCATGCCCACCAACCGGTGGTAAAAATATTTGAATCCCACCAGAGGTTCCCTATCATCACTTAGGATCACTTCAACTTGCTGTAAATTTCTTACAAGGGCTTTTATATCCACCTCTCTATTCTACCATTTCCCTATATGTAGAATACTTCATTGCTTAATACAGAGGCACTTCAAGATTGGCTTTGTCCCTTAGAAGCTTTGGGAGTAATTCATAGATGCCTTCTAAGGTTGTAAGAAATTGCATTTTGTAATGTGTCAGAAAAGAACTTTAAAAAAAAATATTGTGTGTTTTTTGCTTTAGCCACTTATTTAGATATCAAACCTAAGTAACCCAGAAAGATGGCTTAGACAGCAAATGTGAATCACTAACAATAGTTTATCTATTTGATGATTCATACTTTTTACCTTCATATAATTCCAAGAAGTTATGAAATACTCAGCTTTTCCACCTAGGTCAGGGCTCTCCAACCTTGGCAACTTTAAGACTTGTGGATTTCTACTCCCAGAGTTCCTCTGGGAAGTCTGGGAATTGAAGTCCACAAGTTTTAAAATTGCTAAGGTTGGAGAGCCCTGACCTAAGGTGACATCTGTTTATTCCTATTGATTGAGTCACGTGGCTAAGCAAAGCTTTCACATCTGTGCTCATTAAACAGCTTTTGCTTCTGAGCGAAATCTGTAATTTAAAATTTTGCTTCCTGCTCTCTCTAAATTAACTGGGATTAACACAGAGCACTAATATAATATTTAAAAATGAAAAGTTGCTTTAGATGAGATATTTATGTGTGTGCTTTTCTGCTGTCCAATACTTCTTCAATTCAGTGTATTCCTCCCAGATATGTTTTAACATATCTTTCTCCTCAGAATAATTTTGAAATGATAATTTCATGGGAGAATTTGTCAAGTCGCATGACAAGCATTGATTGTCACATTAGTCCAGGATTAAATTAATTTATATGAGAATTCACAAAAATGAAAACAATATTTTTCCTTATGAATTTAATATGAATTTTTTTGTTTAATTCCATCCCTTTTTTTTCTCTACAGGTTAATAATGAAAATGTAGTCAAGGTTGGCCACAGGCAGGTGGTGAATATGATCCGACAAGGAGGCAATCACTTAGTTCTTAAAGTTGTCACTGTAACCAGAAATCTAGATCCAGATGACACAGCCAGAAAGAAAGGTACCGTCTTTTCATTATTTTAATGGTTTCCTATGCTTCTTCGTAAAAGAATCTGGTATACCATTCCATTTTCTGACATTCAGGTAATCGTTAATTAAAGGAAAAGATTAATGTCCACATTCAAGAATGCAAGGGTTCTTTTAAGATAGATTTCCAAAGGTATGGAAAACTGGGACTTCTGGTGCTATCATTGCTCCTGAAGTGCTTCTGTATGTGTATGTGAGATAATTGGGTGGAGGCTAATTTTACAATTGATTACTATCCTCTTGCAATGTGCTATTACATTCTGTATGAATGAAACTATTTACACACGTTGCCAAGATGGATATGAAATTGCTCCACAAGGAAGTAATTCCAGCACTGCTAAGTATCTTTCTGAGAGATAAAAGAAAGTTAATACATTTATGTCTGAATCCAATTAGGTTTTGTTGTAATCTGTCAAAAGCATGTACTAATACATTTTCATATACATTGTTCTCCACATTACATTCACACTCCACATGGCCATTCCTACTGATTGACAAAATGTGGTAGCAGATTTTTCTGGGTATCATGAAAGAGGGATGATTGTTAGCTATTTGATTTGTTATAAATAATAAATCACAATCCTTCAAGATGTCTTTGACCTAGAAAATGTATGATTGATAGATTAAATCAACAAATATGCTTTTTATTTTTATATATTCAGATTTTTAATTTTCAATAACCATATTGAAATAATTATTTTAAGGTGAATAAAGGCACTATGTATATTTTCTTATTAATATATCTAATTTGCAACTGTCTCATTGTTGTGCATGTTACCATCTTTATATGCATTTGCTTTTATGGTTGTATGTCACCAATCAGTAATTCAACATGTTTTAAATCATGCACATACATTTATAAAAGAATAACTAATCTTGATAATAAACCAAAAATTGATTATTGGGAGTTTCTATTTAATGAAAGTATAATATCATTGGAGGTAGTAGTAGTGATAATCATATGATAAAATAATATGAACAGTGAGCTGGAAATGACATGTATTCATGCTAGAATAAAGCTGGGGTTCTTATGTCATGCTGTCTTTCAATATTGTTTATTGATTGAGTATGGAGATGGCAATACTAAATAACAGAATCTCCATATTAATTTCTATTATTTTTATGCATTTTTATCTCATGATTCTAGAATAGTGTAAAACCGTGAGTTCAGCATAGCAAATGTATTGTTTAAAAAGTCAGGTACCATACAGTGTTTGCATAGCCAGAAAGTAATGCTCTTCTTTTGAACACTGTTGTGTCTAAGATGTCTACTGCAAGCTTTCACTGAGCTAAATTAATATCCATGTGTTATATTTCTTATCAGCGAACATTTCTGCATGTAGCTCATAAGTGTTGTTATAGCTCAGACAACTTTATCTTTTGAGATAAAGGCAAGCAGTTTAATTTTAATTTAAATAGTAATATATTTTTGAATTGAATCTGAAAAATGTATTCTGAAGTGTTTTTACTTATTATCTATATCCTTCTGTTTAATGCAAAGCCCCACCACCTCCAAAACGGGCTCCAACCACTGCACTGACCTTGCGGTCTAAGTCAATGACCTCAGAGCTTGAAGAGCTTGGTAAGAAAGTGTTTTTAAAGAGCATGCTGCAATGATGGAGATGTAAAGCCAATGTTATACTGTTTGAAAGTGAACTGCACCTTGTACTGAACACTGGATTGCAATGATTACATACGAATGTTGCATTTCTGGAGGCTCCACGTTTGCATGATGAGCATGAATAATCTTACCTTGTTTTCAGCTCTGCAAGATAATGTATTTATTATTTATATGCATCCTCAATTTAAATATTAAATTAAAAACTGTAGCTTATTTACTGTATTTTTTATTAACCAGTTCATCTAATATTGTTTTATTTTAAATTTCTGTGGCCTCTCATTAGTGGATAAAGGTAAGCTGTTAGTCCTTGTTTTTTTTTAAAAAAACCTGTGTACCTGTAGCTCCCATTGGGGTTCTTTCTTTGATCCCCAAATGCAATTAGTGGATAGAAACAGATTTCTGCTCTCAGATCCCCTCTATCAGCAGTTCAAAGCCTATTTGAAGCTTTTGCACAAATTTAAAAAGCGATTATCAAAGTTATCATCTCTGACAGACACATTTGCTTATAAGATAGAAAAAGGAAAAGTGCTTTTGGGTTTTTTTTGTAGCCTTTTCCCTCCGCTGAACATTTAATAACTGACAAAGAAAGAATATCCATTAGGCAAAGGAAAGGATCCTTCCAGAAATGCAGCAACTGCACACTTGCTATCATTATTTTTTTGGATCTGAACCAATCATTACTGCTTATTTATTACTAAAGTTTTGAGGAATTTGTATTAGCAAGAAAAAGTAATTTTTAAAGTTTTTTTCCCCCAGTTTTTAATAATTGCATGGTAATTGGTTTAGTTATCTTACTTATGAAATGCAATGAAAGTTATTGAGTAATTGGTTGATTCCTAATAACTTCCTTTATAATCTTATTTATGTTATTTATTAAATTATTATGCTGCTCAACTTAAACTTTGAGAGAATCTTATCTCTCTTACTAACCAAATACTTGGAAAAAATAACATAATGTGAACATACATAAAATAGGTGCAGTTTTAACCATCACAATTAATTATTAAGAAGTTATATTTAAGTCTATTAAAATACCTTTTTGTAATTAATTATATTTAAACAAAACTAAAAAGTTCAATAGAAAATATTTCAGAAATTTGCCAAATACAAAACTTACTATTACGTGTACAACATTTTCTATCCATCTTCTATGGATTTATGTTATTCACTATAGAATTTATTAAAAATTTCTTCACAGAAGTACTATTTTTATATTACAAAAGGCAAAAAATGTTTTATTATTATTTGTTTTTAATTTAGTTTTGGGACTGGATTTTCTAACCTTTTTAGGGAAAATAAGGGTTTGTCTTATTTTCATGCTAGTGTTGATGTGTTTTAATTTTGTAAATATCAAATTTCCTGATTATTGGGAATATTGTTTAATTTTCCTTCTCAAGAGTTGGTAGCACAGCACACCCTCTTTTCATCCATTATGAAAGGTTTTTAGACTTTTTTTTATAAGCCAGATAAGTATTTTAGACCTTTAGACTGAGTTGCTTTTTTATATTATTGGAAAAAAAAGTCTTCCTGTCATCTCATGGAATTTTTTTTTTTTTTTTGCATTTTTATGTTATGACAAACTTAGGCTTCCATAAACAAGATGACTCTTTAGAGAAGAGATTAAAGATCTTTGCTAGGGAAAGAATAGAAGCAATGGCCTATTGTTTACCTGCATCCCTCAACTCCTACACTTTTCTAAAAGAATTCCCCAAGTCTGCAGAGCAGAAACTTCATAGGAAAATAGAAATGATGGTTTTATAAAATTTGCCCCCAACTTCGATTGGCTACAGAGTTTGGATACAACCTAATCTAAGAATCATATTTTTTATATGAGCAGTGAGTAGAATCTATTCATTGACCAGTATATAGAAATTATAGAAATCAGTGTGTAGTGCTAAGTGAAATTCACTTCTTGCACTGCTGTTTTAATATTTTATTATTCTACTCATGAACTACTTTAAGGCCCAGAAACAGTTTTCCTTGGACCATGGCAAGAGTCATTTACAGGCAAACAGGCCAAGTGGTTGAAATGGAGCTATGATCTATGTCCTGCTTCTGTATTCTCATGCAAGAGAATACAAAGAGCTGGGACTCAGATCATTTTATTTTATTTATTTGTATCCAGCATTTTTGTTATTTTTATGAGGTGGTGAACTTATCCAACACACCTTCCTCCTCCTATTTTCCCCACAACAACAACCCTATGAGGTGAATTTAGCTGAGACTGGCTCAAAGTCACCCAGTAGGCTTTCATTACTAAGGGAGGATTAGAATTCACAGTCTCCTGCTTTGCTGCCTGATGCCTTAACCACTAGACTACACTGTGATGTAACCCCCATCAGCTTGCTTGTTTGTACCCTCTGTGAATGCCGATGGCCATCCCTATATATTATATCATTATATATTATTTCCCATCAAATTTGTACAATCTCAATCTATAGCAATCCCTCCCCTGTTTTGCTATACATTGAAATCTGCAATATTCTTCAGTATGGATCTTTGTAGATGATCTAACTCTATAGTATTTTGAGATTTTCTGGGAGGATAAAATGTGTATAAAAATGCAAACTGAATTAAGGAAAATAGTTCATTGTTTTTCAAAGACTTCCTAAGTACTGTAGGATTTGAAGATGTATAAAGGTAACTATAATAACTGCACATATTACTACTTCAAATGGATCACTCTGGCTCAAATCAGCTTATTTTTCCTAAATAAAGTCAACTAAAACTCTTAGACTTAAGGTTTTTTTCTTTTATAATATTTTTAAAAAGTTTAGTATTGAATACTTTTTTAAAGATAAAAACAATATAAAAATAATCACTGTAATATAAAAGAACAGCCTTTCTTCTTTTTTTAAAAGAAATTTTTATTTTTAGACAAACATACACAAACAAAACATAAAACATAAAACCATCTTCCAGTTACATACATACAGTGTGTCGGTTGGTTACAGATCTTTTGTGCATTCTCTCCATAGTCCTCACTTACAGTTTGTATAAATTCTCATATTATCAATCTAATATATATGTATACATTATTATCATCGTTAATCATTTATTTGACTAAACTATTATTCCATCATTTTATACGAGATATTCAAAGTTTTAAATTAATTTATATTATAACAATTCATTACATCATCCTAAGTCCATCCAATAGTAGTACATTTTTAAATTATGTTCTGTATAATTTTATTATCCTTGTATTGTAAAATTCTCTAACATATTTCATTTCCATATTTTTGTCTAACCATTGATAACCCTTCTTCTTTAGTAATATGATTTTTATATACAAAAATATGCTTGTGATAAAATCTTGTCTTATAGCTTCATAAATCTAGTTTTGATTTATTCAAAATTCTACAGAAGTACACAGGTTTGGTGTGAATAAAGCTACTGTCAAGGTAGGCCAGACAGGAAACATGAGCAGACAGGCTAACTCTCCTGTAAAACTACATTAACCAGACTCTTGCAAGTCTTAAAATATAAATCTCTCACCAACACCCCCCTCTCTTTATAGCCTATGAAATAGGGAGGGTACCTTCTAAACCTGTTGCCTTCTCACTATCCAACTGCAGGCTATGCTGTCTCTTATTTGGCCATCTCTGGGCAACTTTTCTTTGTCCCATCTCCCAAGTTCTTTCCCACGTATCATTAAAACTACCTATCCACTTCAAATTCAACTAATTTCAAGCGAGGAAGTTTTATTGATATTTAAACATTTTATTGAACTTAGGTACTTCTTATCAAGCTGTAGAAGAATACACAATGTAAGCTGTGTATGTATGCCTGCCAGTAGTGCTAACATTAGAACTACCAGATATTTTTAAAAGTGGAATGACCAGTAGAGGGCAATAATGAGTTAGATGTTTCTGTATCTCTTTGTTGCCACTTAATAATTGTATATATTTTTGCAACCCAGATCTGTAGCATTAAAATGTAGTCTGGGTTGCTTGTCTGTAGTAAAGAATTTGAATATATACATGCAGCGTGCAATCCTGTGCACACTTACTTGCTAGTTTGTACGTATCACTGAAGCAAATTGAGTATTGTTCTGAGAAAACATGTGTGGATATATGTGTGTGTTTAATAAATACATGCTATAGCAGCAATGGGGGCTGTTTAGTAGACCACCTCCTGTTCTTAAGAAGCCTTTTCCTTGCATAGCACAGGCAATTGAAAATGTCATCATAGCCATTCAGTGGATGTTTCCTAATTTCCATTAAAGCACAGCACTATTAGTTGTAGAGTTGATCTTGCATAAGGTTCATGTAGTTGGTTCTGGCCTAGATGTTTTCTAAGAAGCTTTCAGGACTTTGGTGCTTTGAAAGTTTATCTGTTTGTATATCAATTAATGGAATATGTTAAAGCACAGTGAAATGCATGTTAACTGGCAGAGAGGTATGATATGCAAAGGTGCCAAGTTTATTACAAAATATTATCATCACATGATAAAATACGACTTAATAATTAATTGAGAATAAGATTATTGTAATTGGAGAAAAAAGGCTTTGATTCTCTTTTATCAGAGAGATTGGTCTTTATTTCTTTTAGATTTTAGATTGTTTATATTTTCTTCAATTAGCTACACCCATAATGTAATTAATAAAGATCATTTAATGAAAATACTATGCTTTCTTAAGTAAACTATTGTAAATATATATATTATATCTTACTATTTAAAAAAAGAAAATGCTTCAGAAAATAAGTTACTTTTTTCAAACTTAGAATATCTGTCTGTTGTCAATGAATTATGTGCACAGATTGGTCATTTTCTACCCTGTAGAAATGTTAGAAATTAGATTAGGTGCAAAGCATATGCTAACTATATGCTATTTCCAGTGTACTTTGGTTATGCTGCTTTTAAAATATTATTTTCCCGCCCCTTCCCTTTTTATTTCACTTAAAACTGGTTCAAGTTTGATGAGCAATTTATTCTTATGTAAATAATAGGAAATATATTTAGCTTTCAGGCAGTAGACAACTCTAGAAGCATTGTGGTGGTTGGATTTATTTTCTATTTGCCCCTAAAAACACTTAACCCATTGACTTTCAGATAATCCCTTACTCTGACATGTTATACATTAGTAATATTTAATTTTTGCTGTCCTGAAAATTAATCCATCTTTGGGAGATATTTGCTGACCTGGAAAACAAAGTCTGTGCTGAATACTTTTAATCAGCACAAATAACTTTGTAGATAGTAATGAAAAGACTTCAGGTAATTCTGTATGAAACAATGAATATGTGCTGACATTGTATCAGCCATGTTGCTGTTTTTTTAGAGTAGATACCGATATCTGCCTCCAATTATCATGTGGCATCCCAATGTGGGAATCCACAGACTTAAGAACTCATAGCCTGATTATATGGAAGCCTCTTATTCCATTAAGTCTTTGAATTATCACTATTAGGCACCCTTTAATAATTACAATTTCATTCATAAATCATTTGAACATTTGCAGAAAGGTAATTAGGAATTGATAATCAGAGGGTTACAGTTCATTTCTCTTTAAATTCTAAGTATTTTGAGAATGTCTCTTTCAAATTGCATTTTCCCCCCAAACTCCCATCTATACTGTTTAACTTCTGAAATTAGATATTGGTTTTAGAAATGGCCAACTTTTTAATGTCTCTTAAATACAGTTCATCCAGTACTACCAGTAGGAGTGTCTAATGCTCAGTGTTAGTGCTTAAGCCTTAACATTTATTAGAAGACTATTCTCTTCAGATTTTGATTTATTTTCATTCCCTTTCTATTTCCAAGCTTCAGTACGGAAGAAGAAGGGTAAGGGGAAGCATTTTTGTCTCTTTATTTTTTTATTCTTTTTTCCTGCACCAACTTATACTAAAGTGGAATACACAATTGTATGTAGTGGTTCAAATTATCAATCACAAACCATTACAATCAGTATGGTTTTAGTCATTTAGAGAATGGATTGCAAAAGTGTAAAATAATTATATCCCTTGAGAAATCTTGTTTGACATAAATGATCCCATTTTTTCTTCTTCTTTTGCCTTGCCTCCTTTATCCCAACTCTCGCTCCCTTTATATGTTTGAGACCGTTTCTGGTTGTTCCCCAGTCATTACCACAAGGTTACTGTGCTAACTGGCTACTAATTAGGACTGCTTCATACATAATATACTTCTTACAAACCGGAGCCTCCTTGCGTAGAAAAATATGCACACACATGTTGTGCTGTTTGTCTCTTCTGCCATGTATTTGGAACCTGCTGCACTTCAGAAAGCGTGTAACAGAGTCAAAATGGACACTGGCAAAATGATCGCCTTGATTGCTTTTTCCCCTACACTATGATTCCCGTCATGTTGGCATGTCATGTGTGAAGCAGCCCTATGAGAAACAGTGGCAAGTAACAGGAGTTTGGTGTAGTCCTGCATCACTTAATTAACTTGCCTGCTTAATGGCCAGTTATTAATCACAGAACCACACTGCCTCTGTCTCAAAAAATAGGCACCTCACACACACCCTTTGAGTCTACCTGGAGTACTGCTGCTCTGCATAATTTCAGGTTTAATGTAGCATATTCCACACTGTCCCGTGTGCATGGAATGCTGTCCCTTTAACTAATCCATAAGGTCACAACTCTCTTCTCCTTTATCTCCTTGAGACCCACCTCTGCTGCAAAGCATACAAGTTTATTGTGCAACTTGCATTAACTGATTACTAAATAAAAGGACTAATGGGGATTAATGGACATTTTGTAGTAAGATTAAATGTGTGCACATAAAGTTTGCATATGTTTAGTTGCATCCTGTTTCTTCCCAAGCTTTTTTATGTCACCTGTTTCCTTCAAGGCAGGGTACTTGATTTTGATATATGTGATCACACAGCACATTGCTAATCCTTTATGTATCATAAAGACGAAAGACATTACAGACCAGTGGCATATAAATTACAAACTTGTTTATAATACTAACGTCTTACAATGGTAATTGAAATGACTGAAATAAGATTTGTTTAATTTTGCTTTCATTACTTACTAGTACATTCACTTTCTGTGTTGATCCTCGGCCTAAAGTTTCAAATTCAGTATTTCCTTAGTATAGTGGTGTTCCAGCTTGTCTACCAAAAATATCTGCGTAGCTATAAAAGCCCTTGACACGTTGAGAGCCTCTATGAAGTTATGACTCTATACTGGAATTGAATTATACAATACGTATAATGTGTGCCTGCTTATTCTTCCTTTCCTGAATAAAACATAGATCCTATTGATATTCAAGGCTAATGTTTGACCATTCAGACTCAGACTTATTTCACATGCTGTGGCATTCACTAGGTATATGAAGGTTAACCTTAGAATGTCTGCTTTGAAAGATCAATTGCTCATACTAAGAATTAATACATTCACTGTTCTTTGTGCAACCCTATTTCAAAACAGGTGTGTCCTATGATATATCAAAGAAACTTTTCATGTACTTTACGTAGAGACTGTTCCATTCAGTTCAATAGCAGGCATAGCTTTATTGGCATCTGTTCTCCACACTGAGATTTCCATGATACTGAGAGGATTGATTCACTCAATGAACTTTGTGCCTCCTAACTGCAGCTCCTTACATAGAGTAGAACGATCAGATCAGGACTATGGTTCGGTCAATAATATTTTTATTGGGAAATTAGAGCCATAAAATATTAAAATATAGCACACAGTTTTCCATTGCTTTTAACTTTTTTTTTTTTTGCACCTTACACAAGTTCAGTAATATCTTCTCAAACTGCAACATCCATATTTTCTTTTTATTATCTTTGATGAATTCAATAATATACTATTAGTGTTGGAAATAAGTACTTGCTATCTAAAAATAGTTTCTTATGAATAATAACTATATTTAAAAAGATTAATTATTATAACTATAACATTTTTTTGAAAAAAAAAACCATTTAGAATTCATACATCATGGTAGCCTGACCTCACAAATACTTCTGTACTGCAAATGACCTTTTATATCAGCCACAACTAAGTGAAATGAGTAAGTCAGATTCTCCAGGGTCATGCTAAAATGCTGGAAAAGGAGCAATGTAACATAAATATAAAAGAAAATATTTTGATATAGTTGATATAAAACATTTGTGTATGTTGTGTATCTCCAGTAATTCAAGAAGAATAAATTACATAGCATGGTTTCCTGTATATAATGTGTGAACAACTGTGCCCTGCTTCAGAAATGACTAATGCCATTGCAAGTTTTGTATACATGTATGTAGTGTGCTAACTGTTAAAATTAGTGCATAGACCCAATTGACATGCATAAAAGTGTGCATGTGTGGATAAAGTAACTATATTGAAATGAATAGGGAAATTCTATGCTCATATCTGAGTGAAGACTCTTACAAGGGTAGCAGTGAATATATTATATGTTTGTGAAACTACAAACAAATTCCAAACAAATTAAGTAACTTAATTATTTATTGATAGTCACATTAATGCGAGTTGATTGTTTAAAAATATTATTAATAATTAATTAATATTATTTTTAAAACACAAAACAGTAAAATAAAATAGCCCATCTGACTGATTTAATAAAAATATTAATTCATAAAATAAAACAGAGCACACATTATTTCACAGATCCCTGATTTTAGCCAAAGAACTGTTAGTTTCTGCATAGTTAAATAGTTTAATTATTTATATTTTGTTTTCTGAAGTCACTCCATCAGCACCAGACTTTATTCTAACAGGTAATTTATTGTATTTGATAATACTTCGAGACTATAGTTAGATATTTAAAATACCATGTCACTTCTATACTGAATAGACTTTGCAAATCAGTTTAAGTCCTCTCAAAATGATAACATGTGACACAAGTACATGACATTAATTTATTGGTTTTTATGAAGTTCTAAATTGACATAGACATATTTGTAGACTTGAAATAGGATTTATTAGCCTATTTCACATTAAAAGCGTTTCTATTTTTGTTGATCTTGCCCTTGAAATTACAAATATTAATTCAACCAAAGATGCAGCAATCCAGAGTGTGGGGGTTTGTTTTGTTTTGTTTTTTAATTGCTATATGTCATCCCAAAGAGACAATGTTTATAGCCTGTTCCATTTTCAATGTTGATTTATTTTTCTTCAAGAAAAAGTTTGATTTAAAAAAATAATAATTGTCAAAACAAATGCTATTCTTGCTATACTTTTTAATAAAACTGAGGTCAAACGTGGCCCTGTAGAGGCCCTGAAAAGACTGTATAATATAGCCCTTGTTATTTCATCATTGTGGAACTGAATACAAAGCTGCTAACAGCACAACTATAATACAAACAGATAAACCAGGCATCTTCAAATAAATGGATAATTTTGGAAGATATTTTGGACAGAAGTCTTCAAGCCATCATAATATTGTCTAATGGAAGATATCAATAAATATTTCTGAAGCTAAAAAGTCTAATATGGAATTTCTGAAAGATATTTGTGTAAGTGTTCATTGGTTGAAACAAAATGAAATCACCTTTAATTAAAATTGTATTACTTATTTATTATTTATTAAATCATATTTTTTATTAAGTTAATGTTCTTGTAGATATGCAGTTAGGCTACTATCTTCTGGCCTTATTTTTATTTTATTTTATTTTGATTATGGTTTATTAGGTGAATGGTGAATTTATTAGTTATATAGTGAATTTATTTTACTCTTTCTTTAACATATAGAAAAATAATGTAACAAAACAAAATGTTATATCACAGGGCTTCCTAGAGAGACATGTGACATTTCCAGCTTTTGCTGCTCTTGACCATAATAAAGAAAGATTAAACCATGAAAACCCACATAGATTAAATAATTGTCTAAAGTTAAAGCTCTCTCTTAAACCAAATGCCCATCCAAGCTCTCTTTCTGAATTGCCTGGTTAGTAAGACATTCAAATCTATTCAGATACTTTTTCAGAAAATTCCTTGCTCTGTCTCAAAAAAATAATTGTCATGTGTTAAATATAATTAAAACAGCAACCTCCAGTGCCATTTTCAGAAATAGTTCTCCATTTCTTACCAGTTGTAAATGCATACCACATGTAAACATGTTATAACATATCATTCACCCCAATACGTAAAGTACTTAGTTGTCTTTCTTCACTGCAGAAAAATAATTGTGGGTGATTTTCCAGTCCTGGTGAAAAAAGCATTGCAGGAAACGAACAATGGAATCATAGGCACTCAAGGGGATCACAGTTCTATGGCTACTGTACGTAGCGGTACTTTACTGAGCAAAAATTCTTGAACTGCTTGACAAAAAAGGAGTAAGTGAATTGACGCAATGGATTTATTAAGATTTTCCAAGTGTAAGGGTTTCTATGCAATGTCTTTTCAAAGCTTTTAATCTCTTTGTGTCTTTCAGATTCCATGGTACATTGTGGTCTAGCTGCTGCTGTGCTGTAAAATTCACTAGGAATCATTTTTCATTAGAATTCATTTTTCTTCAGTTGTTAACAATCCCATGGTCTTTTCTGATGGAAGTTATAAAATAAATGCTTTTAGGAAACTTGTGGCTTGTTTTTATTTCCCATGGGATTCTGCCAAACGTACTGTGCTTTTTGGGAAAGTGCTCTCTATTTTTAAATTTCATCTCTTTCAACTCCCAACTAAAATTCATCAAATCTTAATATCAGAATGGAAAAGCTTTTCTTTCTTTTGAGCCTAAAACGGTATGGTTGAATTTAGAAAGTAATTCAAATAATATTTCTTGTATTCGAGGAATAATGCTGTTAAAAAGATTTCTAGTTCCCTTCATGGACATTTAAGAAGGGTTTGAGGGGATTGTATGTAAATATT